TCTCTTTGTCTTTCTTAACTCTGACTTTCAAATAAACAAGTAAATCTTAAGCAAAATACATGAATTGTGAGCAATAGACATGATAGTCAAAGCCTCTTCAGGCTTTCAGATCTTGAAACCTGTTACAATGCTGCTGTTCCATAGTATGGCCTAATGGGCTTGACAAAATGGTGAACAAAGAGAGCAATCACTTATACCCTGACACAAAAGATAAACTACTTTCTCTGATAATCAATTATGAGAGGGCTAAAATTAAGAGACCTGCCCTTTATCTTACCGGAAAGAAGTGTTCTTTTCTTTCTGCTTGGGTAAAATTATTTGTGGGGTTGTTTGTCCAGTGGCAAAAGCAAAGGTGCTGAAAATGGACTGAGGATAACGGAACTTCATTAGCTGTTTCTTAAAGATCTCTACTACTTCTGGACTGACTTCTTCATCAAACGCTACTTTAATCAACTAGAGACAAAAAAGATTAAACACATCAGAAGGATTAACAACTTCCAGACAACTTTCCCCCAAGTTACTGATATGACAGAAACAATAATACTAAATGGTAAGAATTTGGAGACTGAAGGAACTTTGGATACTACGCAATATAATTTTTTAAATTCTAAAGAATTTTTTTTTTTTAATTTGAAAGGCAGAGTGAGAGAGGGACAAAGAGATCTTCCATCCACTGGTTTATTTCCCAAATGCCCGCAACAGCTGGCACTGGGTCAGGCCAAAGCCATGAGCTGGGAGGGAGCTCCATCTGGGTCTCCATTTGGGTGGCAGGAACCCAAAGTACTTGGGTCATCATTCACTGACTCCCAGGTGCATTAGCAAGGAGCTGGACCAGAAGTGGAGTAGCCAGGACTGGAACAGGTGCCCATATGGGATGCTGGCATTGCAGGTGGTGGCTTTACCAGCTACGCCACAGAGCCAGTCCCATGTCACTCCACTGAAGGTGGGAAAAGGAACCTCATAGACTCCTCTGTGTGTCTACAGTACTAAGACAAGATACTTGGCTCACTGAAGTAAATCCTTAGGAAGCTATTCATGTACCAGCATATCATATTTGGGTATTCATGGTCTCCTTGGCTTATGAGGTAATACAGCAGGCTAGCTATGCAATCAAGAAATATCATACTGTATGGAACCTCAAATCTTTCAAAATTCCCAACCTACACCACTTATAGGCAAAGGAAAAGCCTTTTATCCAAAGTCTGCGAGGCTTTCTCTCCTTAATATATAATTTATATTGATAGATGCTTAAATTCAAGATGAGTAATGGTAAATGACAAATTTTCTCCACTATATATACTAATAGAATTATAAAACAATTATTATTTTATAATAACAACTTTAAAATTTAAACTTTAAATTCAATGCCTGATCCTGATTTTGATTCTGGAACAGAAAGAAAAATAGTTATAAAGGGTCCTCAGCAAAATGTGAATATGGCCTCTGAGTTGGCTAAGGATTTTGTATCAATTAAATTTCCTGGTTTTGATTTTTGTACTGAGGTTTTAGAAGATGTGATTGTCGCTCCCCCTCTTCGTGGAGGAACAACACAGGACCCTGCGTTGTTCTTTCATCTGCTCGGCCCTTCCTGGGTTTGCTGCTGGTTCTTCCCGGGTTGGCTACTGTCCCTTCCACCTCTGTGGAAGGGCGGTTCCCCCTGCCACTTTCCCCACTTCCGCGAGGGAGCGGCACACCGCCGGCCGGCTCTCTCGGGGGCTGCACAGGTGTTCCTTCAGATAGATGTTCCTGGTGCATGTTGTCTCTCTCCTCCTTTATAGTCCTCTTCCACCAATCCCAACTCTGCTACCCACACGCCAAGTATGCTGCTCTCCTCCAATCAGGAGCAGGTCCTGCTGTTTATTGGTTGAACTGGAGGCAGCTGTGTAGAAGCTGTTTCCTCCTCTCCCAGCGCCATATTGTGGGAGAGCAGATGCATAGAATAAGTCTTAATTCCAGTAACAGTCTAGTCCGAGTTGCTCCCAGTTGCTCCCCACATGTGATCCTTGTTCTTAGGGAACATATACCTATGAATTTAAGGATAAGGGAGCATTTCAAATGTAACTCAAATGGTTCAGGAAAAAAAAATGTGATTCATTATTTGAGAGACACAGAGACAAAGTGAGACAGAGAACTCCTATCTGCTGGTTTATTCCTTAAGTGTTAGCAGTGGCTGAGGCTGGCCGAGGCTGATGTTGGGAGCTGGTCAACCCTGTTCTCTCATGTGGGTGGCAAGGACCTGAATACCTGAGCTATCACTGCTCCCCAGAGGGTCTGCTTAAGCAGGACACTGGAACTGGGAGCCAGAGCTGGGGCTTGAACTCAGATATTCTGACATGGGATGCAGGTATCCCAACTGGCATCTTAAAAGCTAGGTCAAAAGCCTGCCCCCATATTACCTTTTAATTCCATTTTCCACAACTTTTTGAAAAAAAAAATATATATAAGAATAATAAATCAAATAGACCAAAATAAAAACCACTGGTTGGCCAGCTCTCTGCTGTGGCCAGGGAGTGCAGTGGAGGATGGCCCAGGTGCTTGGGCCCTGCACCCCATGGGAGACCAGGAAAAGCACCTGGCTACTGGCTCCCTCCATCAGATCAGCACGGTGCGCCGGCCGCAGCGCGCTGGCTGCGGCGGCCATTGGAGGGTGAACCAATGGCAAAGGAAGATCTTTCTCTCTGTCTCTCTCTCTCACTGTCCACTCTGCCTGTCAAAAAACAAACAAAACAAACAAACAAAACAACAACAACAACAACAAAAAACCACTGGTTAATTTGAATAAAAGATACACAGAATTCTTGGTAGTACTACTGTCAATTTTCTCTGTTTGAAATTATTCACAATTATAAAGTTTTCTGTCTCTAGATCAAAGCAAAACTATTAAGCATGGATATTAATAAAATCTGAATAGATTATTATTCAAATGCAGTTAGAAATTGATCAATATGGGGAAAAGAGAAAACATAATTTTCTATTGTAAAAATGCATTGTGAAGGGCCGGCATTGTGGTATTGTGGGTAAAGCTGCTGCCTGTAACACTGGCGTGCCATATGAGTACCAGTTTTTATGTTGGCTGTTCCACTTCTGATCCAGCTCCCTACTAATGGCCTGGGAAAAGTAGTAGAAGATGGCCTAAGTGTTTGGGCCCCTGTACTCATTTGAGAGACCCAGACAAAGCTTCTGGCTCCTGGCTTCAGCCTCACTCAGCTGTTGGCTGTTGGGGCCATCTGGGGAGTGAACCAGCGGGTGGAAGATCTTTTTCTCTCTGTCTTTCTTAACTCTGACTTTCAAATAAACAAGTAAATCTTAAGCAAAATACATGAATTGTGAGCAATAGACATGATAGTCAAAGCCTCTTCAGGCTTTCAGATCTTGAAACCTGTTACAATGCTGCTGTTCCATAGTATGGCCTAATGGGCTTGACAAAATGGTGAACAAAGAGAGCAATCACTTATACCCTGACACAAAAGATAAACTACTTTCTCTGATAATCAATTATGAGAGGGCTAAAATTAAGAGACCTGCCCTTTATCTTACCGGAAAGAAGTGTTCTTTTCTTTCTGCTTGGGTAAAATTATTTGTGGGGTTGTTTGTCCAGTGGCAAAAGCAAAGGTGCTGAAAATGGACTGAGGATAACGGAACTTCATTAGCTGTTTCTTAAAGATCTCTACTACTTCTGGACTGACTTCTTCATCAAACGCTACTTTAATCAACTAGAGACAAAAAAGATTAAACACATCAGAAGGATTAACAACTTCCAGACAACTTTCCCCCAAGTTACTGATATGACAGAAACAATAATACTAAATGGTAAGAATTTGGAGACTGAAGGAACTTTGGATACTACGCAATATAATTTTTTAAATTCTAAAGAATTTTTTTTTTTTTTTAATTTGAAAGGCAGAGTGAGAGAGGGACAAAGAGATCTTCCATCCACTGGTTTATTTCCCAAATGCCCGCAACAGCTGGCACTGGGTCAGGCCAAAGCCATGAGCTGGGAGGGAGCTCCATCTGGGTCTCCATTTGGGTGGCAGGAACCCAAAGTACTTGGGTCATCATTCACTGCCTCCCAGGTGCATTAGCAGGAAGCTGGATCAGAAGTGGAGGCAGTACTTGATCCCAAGAGGTGATTTAAACCCACTGTGCCACAACACTCACCCCTAATTTTTAAGTTTTAAAAGTAAAAAGTGGGGCCTGCATTGTAATGCAGCAGGTTAAGCCACTGCTTGTGATATCAGTATCCCCTACTACAGTGTCAGTTCAAGTCCTGGCTTTTCCTTTTGTGATCTGATCCAGCCTTCTGCTAATGCATCTGGGAAGGAAGTAGAAGATGGACCAAGTATTTGGGCCCCTGTCACCCATGTGAGAGACCAAATTCCCAGTTCCTGACTTCAGCCTGGCCATGACCTATCTGTTCCGGTCATTTAGGGAGTAAACCAGTGGATGAAAATTTTTCTCTATCTGTCTTTTCCCCCTTCACTCTGTCACTGATTTCAAATAAATAAATCTGAAAAAAAAGTGAGTTTCAGAAATGTTTACTTGTTGTAGATGGATAGTTGGTAAGGAAAATCATGTATCCTGAAGTTTGTTTTAAGACTATCTATTCTACAATGCAACAGGAATTAACTTGTTATGGCTAAAGCAGCAAACATTCTTTCCTTATTTCTTAACTGTTGGCCTTCAGAGGGAATTTGGCCTAAAAAAGTTCCTTTATACCCTGAGATATAACAAATCTAGGAAGATAAAAAAATCAGATTTACTACAATCCTAAAAGCACTGTCAGGCAACACTGGAGTAAAGAATGCTGGTAGCTCAGTTAGTGACAAAAACCTCAAGCAGTTAATGCTCTCAGGAGATGAAAGAAGGTCTGGAGCCTCAAGACCAGCAGCCTGAAGGTTCACACAGCACAGGAGCTACCAAGGAGCTCCTCTAGTGTAAAGAACGTCTAAAAACTGGAACCCTTGGAAATTTTAAAGTCAGAGACGTCACATGAATAATAGGAAAAGCAAAATATTGTGAAAAAGAAAAACTAAGAAAAGGTAACTTTCCAGAGTCTGGTTTGCATCAGTAATTCTACAAGCTTTGATATATTCACAGTCTCCAACAAAAATGCCTGTCTTATCAGGGGTCATTCCATTAGTACCAATAGTAACTTTAGTCCTGGTTACGCTTCTCACAGTTTCACCTCTGCCACAGCAGAGCCAGAGGGCATTTTCTTCCAAAAAAGATGTCAAAAGAATTGCTTTGTATCCGAAAGGTTTGTCAAATAAGAATTGGAGTAGAATTTGAGGGAACAAGACCAGTTGTACGAGTCCCAGTTTCTAAGGTCACTACACATTGACAGACAACCTGCATGTACGCTTGAGTTGGCCCAGGGGCTCACGAGGTGAGGGAAAAAGGCCAAGGCTACAGTATTTACGAGTTCACTCTGCTGATAGACCTTCTAAGGCCCTCTGTACTTCTCTTCTTCTAGTGCCAACCATTACCACAGAGGATTAGTGAAAATGTTTAAACAGTAGGACGGTTTCCTTTCTTTATACCTGAAAAGATGCTGATGTGATCTGCAGTCCTTCTTGCATGTTCTGCTGTAGCTGGTTCTGCACTGTGATTTTCTTCTCCTTGGTGATGGAGGCAATGGGAAAGCTACGCATGACTGTCTGCTCGCCAACTGCGGGAAGACAGCAAGAGAACTTCACCACTCTTGTCTACAATCTCTGTGGCTCACTGAAGCAGCCTCTGGTGGCTGGATGTATCTAAACAGGACAATGCCCAGGAATGCAGTGAGGGGAAATGTGCCATGGTTCTAGAGCCACAATCATTAATTTTACTGCATGGCAATTTACTTCTGAGACATAATCCTCTCCCAAAGTGAAGGAACTGTCACAGACCACTTGCCTATGTTCTACCCCCCAACTTACTATGTGCCACATAAATAACCCAGTTTAAGGCAACCTTATAGGAAAGGTAGGATAGTTAATGAAAGGACAGAGCAACAGAATAGGTTTTTTGAAGTTTGTTTCCATATGCAGTAAAAGGAGCCATATATGTATGATTGTATTTGCCTTTGGAAACAGGAATGGTCTTAAGCCCAGGAATTTTAAGAGTTTAAAGAATGGGAAGAAATAAATAATTATTTATCAATCCCAAGGTTATGACAATGAAAGTCTAGAAAAGAAGTACCACACACAAAGGCTCCCTTATAGAGTTTCCAGCTCCCTCTAGGAGGAGAAGCACATGCAGGGTAACATCACGTGATTAACTCCTAGGTTTTAGGAAATGGACTACAAAGGCTTGTGTACTTCAGAAAAGGAGATCTCTGTATTGTATGTGGGAGGGTAGAGAATATTTGTTGGAAGAAGTGAGAGGAGAGGTGAGTTTGAAGAGAGCATGGCTTATACTTATATAACATATGTGACATGATCAGATTCCTATAGAGAAATAAAAAAGCAAGTAAATTTTGTCTGATAAATATTTGCCTAAAAAGTGAAATTAACACAAAATTTATAAGGAAAAACAGAGTACAACATGAGACTGCACACTAAGTGAAGAAACATGAGGGCTTACAGCAGGCTGGTAGAAAGCTATCTATTTACATACCAGGTTGTCTCCGCAAGAGCTAAAGCCAAGTGACAAACATTTTAAGAATTAACACCTATTCCACTTAAGTTCAAAAATATAAGAGGGAGTAATTCTTCCAAACTTAATCAGTGTGTCCAGCATTATACCTTTATACTCAAACCAGACAATGACACAACAACAACGACAGAAAGCTACCAGCTGATATTCTTGATGAATGTAGATACAAATCCTCAGCAAAATACTAGCAAACTGAATCCAATAACACATTAAAAGGATTATTTGCCAGGATCAAGTGAGATTCATTGATACAAGGGTGGTTCAAAATATGTAAATTAATAAACTCGATATAATACACCAATAGAATGAAGAATAAAAATCCTGTGATTATACTCACAGATGCACCAAAAGACTTTGATAAAATAGTATCCCTTCATGATACAAACTTTAACCAAATTAAGTATGGGAGGAGTATACCTAACACAATAAAGGCCATATAAAAAACTCAATAGTTAACATCATACTAAAAAGGGAAAAGATGAAGGTTTTCTCTGTTAAGATCTGGAACAAGACAAAGATGCCTACGTTCACCACTTTAATCTAAAATAGTATAGGAAGACCCAGCCAGGGCAATCAGAAAAGACAAAGAAATAGAAGGTATCTAAGTTAGAAAGGAATAAGTCAAGCGGCACCAGCGCTGTGGCACAGCATGTTAAAGTCCTGGCCTGAAGCACCAGCATCCCATATGGGTGCCCATTCTAGTCCCAGCTGCTCCTCTACTGATCCAGCGCTCTGCTAATGCCTGGGATAGCAGAAGAAGTAATGAATAAGTTTTGTCCTTTGGCCCCTGCACCCATGTAGGAGACCCAGAAGAAGCTCCTGGCTCCTGGCTTTGGATCTGCTCAGCTCCGGCTGTTATGGCCATCTGTGGAGAGAACCAGCAGATGGAAGACCTCTCTCTCTGTCTCTCTCTCTCTAACTCTGTCTTTCAAATAAATAAAATAAATCTTAAAAAAAAAAGGAGGAAGTCAAATTGTTATTGCTTGCAGAAGATATGATCTTATAAATAGAAAACCCCAAAGACTTCACCAAAAAAAGAAAAAAGAAAAAGAAAAAAATCTATTAGAACTAATAAGCGGCCGATGCCACGGCTCACTAGGCTAATCCTCCGCCTTGCGGCGCCAGCATGCCGGGTTCTAGTCCCAGTCGGGGCGCCGGATTCTGTCCCAGTTGCCCCTCTTCCAGGCCAGCTCTCTGCTGTGGCCAGGGAGTGCAGTGGAGGATGGCCCAAGTGCTTGGGCCCTGCACCCCATGGGAGACCAGGAGAAGCACCTGGCTCCTGCCATCGGATCAGCGCGGTGCGCCAGCCGCGGCAGCCATTGGAGGGTGAACCAACGGCAAAGGAAGATCTTTCTCTCTGTCTCTCTCTCTCACTGTCCACTCTGCCTGTTAAAAAACAAAACAAAACAAAAGAAAAAAACTAATAAGCAAATTCAGCAAAGTTACCAAATACAAAATCAACATACAAAAATCAGTGTTACTATACATGAATAGCGAATTCCCTGAAAAAGAAATCAAGCAATCCCATTTCCAATAGCTACAAAGCAACTCTCTAGTGCTAAATTTAACCAAATAGGTGAAAGACCTACGCAATGAAAACTACAACATGCTGACGGGAGAAACTGAAGAGAACACATAGAAATGGAAAGACATTTGTGGAAGAATCAATAGTTAAAATGTCTATACCACTCAAATTGACTCACAGATTCAATACAATCTCTATCAAAAAAAACACCAATGACATTTTTCACAACTAGAAAAAAAAATACTAAAACTTTTATGGAATCACAGAAGACTCTGAACAGTCAAAGCAATCTTGAGCACAAAGAAGACACTCCTTGACTTTAAAATATATTACAGAGCTACAGTAATTAAAACAGCATGTAACTGACATAAAAACAGGTACGTAGACCAATGGAACAGAATAGATATTCTAGAAATAACCTCATGCATCTAAAGCCAAATAATCTCTGACAAATTTGCTAAGAATACCCATTAGAATAAACACAGTCTTTTGAATAAATAGTGTTAGAAAATCTGAATATCTGTATGCAAAACAAAGAAACCAGACCCTGGTCCTTCACTAAGCACAAAAATCAATTAAAAATGGATTAATGAACTAAATTTAAGACCTGAATTTTTGAACTTACTAGAATAAAACACAGGAGAGATAGATCAGTACATTGGAGTGGGTAAGAATTTTTGGATCAGACCCTAAAAGCACAGGAAACATAAGCAAAAATAGACAAATGGGATCTCATCAAACTAAAGAGATTTTTCACAGTAAAGGAAACAACATAGTGAAAGGAAACAAGCTACAGAACAGTAGCTTCTAAGTTACACATCTGCCAACAATCAGATTATAAAAGAAAACAATTCAATAGCAAAAAACCTTAAACAACCTAATTAAAAAATAGTAAATGTAAACACATTTTTCAAAGGAAGACATACAAATAGCAACAGGTACATAAAAAAATGCTCAATATCACTAATCATCAGGGACATGCAATCAAAGCCACAATGAGATATTACCTCACCCAAGTTAGAATGATAATTATTAAGAGGACAAACGGTAACAAGTTCTGGTGAGGATGCAGACAAAAGGGAATCCTTGCACACTGTTGGTGGGAACTTAAAACAGGATAGCCAGTTTGGAAAACAGTGGGTAGTTCCTCAAAAAAACTAAATGTATAACTATTGTGAGGTCCAGCAATTCCCACAGCTGGTGTCCACTCAAGGGAAATGAAATCAGTCTGTGGAAGAGCCATGTGCACTGAGACGTTTATTACAGCACTAGTCATAATAGCCAAGACATGGAAACAATGTAAATGTCCATCCACTGATGAATGGATAGAACAATATGGTGCACAGGGGCCAGCACTGTGGCACAGCAGATTAAGCTGCCGCCTGAGATGCCGGCACTCCATATGGATGCCGGTTAGAAACCTGGCTGCTCCACTTCTGATCCATCTCCCTGCTAATGGACCTGGAAAAGCAGTGGAGGATGGCCCAAGTGCTTGGGCCCCTGAACTCATGTGAGACCTGGAAGAAGCTCCTGGCTCCTGGCTTTAGCCTGGCCCAGTCCTAGCTGTTGTGGTCCCTTGGGGAGTGAACCAGCAGATGGAAGACCTGTCTTTTGGGGTCTCTCCCTCTCTTTCTGTAACTCTGCCTCTCAAATAAAAAATAAAGTTGGTACATATTATTACTCAGCCATAAAAAGAATGAAATTCTGTTATTTTCAACAACATGGATGGGAGTGGGGGTTGTGATGTTAACTAAATAAGCCAGGCACAGAAATACATGTATCACATGATCTCACTCACATGTGGAGTCTAAAGAGTTGGTCTTGGGCTGTTGGTGTAGCAGGTAAAGTTGCCTTTTATAATGCTGGCATCCTATACTGGAGTGCCGTTTCGAGTCCTGGTTGCTTCACTTTTCAATACAGCTCTCTGGTAATGTGCCTGGGAAAGCAGCACTTACTAGTCCCCTGCTATCCATGAGGGAGGCCCAGATGGAGCTCCTGGCTCCTGGCTCCTGACTTCAGCCTGACTGAGTCCTGGCTGTTGCAGCCATTTTTTTTTTTTTTTGACAGGCAGAGTGGACAGTGAGAGAGAGAGAGACAGAGAGAAAGGTCTTCCTTTGCCGTTGGTTCACCCTCCAATGGCCGCCGCGGCTGGCGCGCTGCGGCCGGCGCACCGCACCGATCCGATGGCAGGAGCCAGGAGCCAGGTGCTTTTCCTGGTCTCCCATGGGGTGCAGGGCCCAAGCACCTGGGCCATCCTCCACTGCACTCCCTGGCCACAGCAGAGAGCTGGCCTGGAAGAGGGACAACCGGGACAGAATCCGGCGCCCCGACCGGGACTAGAACCCGGTGTGCCGGCGCCGCTAGGCGGAGGATTAGCCTAGTGAGCCGCGGCGCCGGCTGTTGCAGCCATTAAATCAGCAGGTGGATGATCTCTCTCTGTCACTTTTTCTAATAACTAAATCTTTTTAAAAAATAAATTAAAAAGTTTATCTCAATAATGATGGTTTACAGGCTGGGGAGAGTACATGGAGGGAGAGTTGTGGGTGCTAAGCTATAGATAGAAGTAAAAAGTTCTGGTGTTCTATTGCAAAGTAGGGTGATTATAGATAATGATGATCTACTGTGTATTTTTCTCTAAAAAAACTAGAGGAAAGGATTTTGAAAATTTTCACCATAAAGAAATGTTAAATGTTTGAGGAGATAGAGATGTTTACCCTGGTTGCACATTACACAGTGTATGCATATATTGAAACACAGAGAGAGAGACCTTCAATCCACTGGCTTGCTCCCCAAATGCCTACAAGGGCCAGCAATGGAGCTCAGAACTCCATCCTAGTTTGCCATATGGGTGGCAGGCACGCATTATCCACTGCTTTTCCAGGCATGTTAGTAGGAAGGTGGATTGGAAGTAGAGTAGCCAGGACTTGAACCAGCATTCCAGTTTTGGATGTGGGCATCCTAAGAGGTACTATGTTAGACCCAACTGAATTTTGTAGCTTTTTTGCTATATTGTATGGTAAGCAATCTTTTATGACCAATAGTTTAAACCATCTTGATTCTATTAAACCTAGGAATAATATAACTATTAAGATTTTAAAGAGCTGGATGGTGCTGTGGCATAGGGGGTTAAGCGGCTGCTTGTAATGCTGCCATCCTATATGAGCACTGGTTTGAGTCCTGGCTGCTCCACTTCCTATTCAACTCCCTGCTAATGTGTCTGGGAAAGCAGCAGAGAAGGCCCAAGTGCTTGGGCTGCTGCACCCATGTGGAAGATCCAGAAGAAGCTCCTGGCTTTGGCATGGCCCAGCCCCGGCAGTTGTGGCCATTTGGAGAGTGAACCAGTAGATGGAAGAGCTCTCTCACTCTCTGTCACTCTCTCTCTATAACTCTGCCTTTCAAACTGAATTAGACAATTCTTTTAAAAAAGTCTTCAAAAATAGTCTAAATACATTTTTTTTACATCTGAGTTTCATTGTTCAACAAAATGCATGGCACATAGTGCATACTCACTAAATGCTATCAAATGTTTTCACAGGAAGAAGGACCATCTAGCACAATGGTTTTCAACTTTCAGAATTCATCATATTTACTTGTGGGGCTTAAAAAGTATACAGATGCCTAGGTCTCCCCATTCTTATTGCTTCAGATTCTAATTCAACTATTTGGGGTTTGGGCCAGAAATTGACACGTAATTTCAAGCTTCCCAGGTAATTCAAACATGCATCTAAGTGTGAAAATTACTGGACTACCACCAATGAAAGCCCAATTTTCTAAAATAGCAGAAAATTAAGTCCATAGGAGTTAGGTGACTTATTTCAAATATCAAGATTCCTTAGTAGCAATCTGAATTTGAGGTATTTGACTTGTAGTCCAATAGTCTGGCCCAAAACCTTATGTACTTTTCCAATCAGTAAGAATATTTTATAGAGAGACTACAGTGATTTTAAGAAGTTAATGCAGATTACTTTTGGATAGGGCATGCTATTCCTTCCTAATATAGAAGGATGCATAGAGTCGTAGAAAATAGAAATAGTAGTTTTGGGAGTTTATGAGAGGAAGAAAAGTTGCTTGCTGAGAGGGAAGCAGGGTTGATTAGTGCTGTCCCAAGTTGGGATAAGTCAGCAGGGGCATATTTAAAAGTCAGTTATTGTGACCACCCTAGGTAACAATAATCTGTCTCAGGAACATTTACAAGACAGCCTTTGTTCTTCAAGTAAAAATTTATGACCCAAATTATAATTATCTTCTACAGATAAAAGTATCCCCAACCTGTGTGGCAAAAAGGCTTACTTTGGATTTCAAATGATCTGCAAGTCACTGTGCACAAACTGCATCAAAACCTCACGTACCACACAGATGACTGAGTTCAGACAGTGTATCAGGAGTCATACCCAGTTGATCATGGGGAGCCCCTCTGAAGAGAATTCTGTATGTGGTCAGGAACAAGGCTCCTTCTGCCGGCAGCAGCTGTGGGCCTCCAAGAAGACCTCCAGTGGCTTCTTCTCTTCCATCAGGATCTAGTAGGACCCGAAGACCTTCACATACAATTTCTTCTCCTGGCAGCAGTGCAGGTCTAAGAATCTTGGGCTAACAATATAGAAAGTATTTTAAACACTACTCTTGTGGGGTTTCCAAGACTTAGACCATGGGTGGAGAATGTCAGGCCTGTTGGCCATATAAGGCTTACAAAGTTATTTGGTCTGGTCCTGCAGTTGGGACTTAATTAAATAAGTCTACAGCAGGCTAATTTTTAAGTTGTTAATTTTGTATTGGCCCATGAATGTTGTTATAAATATCCAAATGGATATTAGCAGAAAAAAAGTTCCCCGCCCCCAAGACAGTTATACATCTAAAATACTTGAGCCAGATTTCCCAGGTAACAAAATGATGAGTAAGCAGATTTGTGAAGAAGCAGAAATGAGGTTTCTACATCCAAGTGTGAAAAGATTCTTGGAAGCATTGCTTATTAACTATGGAGTCACTGGAAAAAACTCGTTGTTTCAAATACCCATTCAAAGGAACATCTGGCAAACTCTAAAAAAAACCACTTTGATCTATATGTGCTAGAATACACTGTTACATAAAAAAAAAAAAAACAAATTGCAAACCAATAAATAAGAATGATCCTTTTTTCTCTCTCTTTTTTTGGATAAAGAAAAAATACCATAGGGTTCAAGGTGGAGTTGTGTGTGGGGTAGGAAGGACTATGGAAGACTTTAATTTTACACAACGTATTTCTTTCATGTTTGAATTTTAAACAAATGGCATTATTACTTTTGCAAATTGGAAACAAAATATTTAGAAAAAAAATGAAGAGGTTTTAAAAAGCCCTGTCATTCTGCCAAGTAGTTATCGTTTTAACATCTTGGGAAATCCTGACTCAGCTCCCTTTATATGAGGAACCACATGATAACATTCCTTAGAGATTTTAGGGCTGGGAAAAGAAATACACCACTCCTGAAGGATTAATATGCTTATTTTTGATTAAGCAATAAAAACTATATGAATCAACACTATTCCTTTTGTTGGCTATAGGAAGCACAGGGCTAAATGGAAAGAAAAAAATATAAGATCAAATATAATATATATCAGGTTTTTGCTAGATTAGCTTTCCTATCTCTCTAGCTTCTGATCTCTATTTTGAATTTATTTTTAATAATTCTGTTATTTTTATCAATTCTGTTATATAGGAGAGAGGTTTCTGAGCGCCAGTCCTTAGATAGTGCTAGACTAGCTACAAAATAATGATCTAGGAAGCTTGTTAAAAAACAGATTTCCAGGCCATGTCTCAGGGCTCTCCAGTTCAGGACTCTGAATTTTTAATAGACTACAAACTTGGTGCTTTTATAGTAATTGCTTTCAACCCTCTTTATCTTTGGTAAGTAGGCAGGGAAAAATATCCTGCATTGGGTTTAGAAGTTAGAACTGTTGATAATTCATGCCCTGCTTATAAAAGTAGACAACAAGAGGTTATTATTGCTCCTTTGTTGAATCCAAGAAAGGATACTGTTCCTAGTTTGGTATCATTTTTATAAGGTTCTACATGACAAACTGCTCTGAAAGTTTAATATATCATTAAAACTGGAGCTGGTCTCAGTAAAAGGTTAGGAGAAAGTACTTTGTAGAGTGCAACAGTCTATTGTTGCTGTTTTTAAGAAGAGATGTTATTCTCTGAAAGCATGTACCTTCTGTATAGGTGGAAGTCTTCTACTCTCTCGATGCACTGCCTCTAGGGTCTCAATGTGCATGGCTACAATTCCTAGGATGAGTCAGAGTATTCAAAATGAAAGAGCACAAAATAAACAGATAAAGGCAAATTCCTGATATTTCAGAACTAAAAACAAGTAACTTTGGCAATTCATCAAAAAGTTAAACAGAATTACCAAATGACCCAAAAGTTACACTTTAGGTAATACACCAAAAAGAACTGAAAACAAGGACTCAAATAGATACATGCACATGAATGTTCATAATAGCATTATTCACAATAGCCAAGAGTATATAAATAACCCAAGTGCCTACCAACAAATAAATGGATTAAAAGTGGTCTACTGATACAATGAAATATTATTTAGCTATAAACAGAATAAAATTCTGAGATATGCTAGCCCACTGGTGATTCTAGAAAACATTACACTAAATGAAAGAAGCCAGCACACACAAAGGTACAAATATTGTATGATCCCATGTACAAAAAATATCTAGAATAGACAAATTCATAGTGACAGATAGTAGATTAGATGTTGCCAGATGGTAGGGAGTGAGGATACAAGTGGTTATTACTTAATGGGTACAGAATGCTTGTGGTGATGAGATAGTTTTTGGAAATAGATAGTGATAAGGGTTGCATAACATTCTGAATGTAATTAATCCATTGAAATGTACATTTAAACTGGTTGAAATGGCAATTTTTGTTACATATATGTTACCATAACTTAAAAACATTTAAAAAGTTAATCACAAATAAATAGCAAACTAATAAGTGGAAAACTACCTGGAAGATAAATATTACAGGTGTTATGTTGGAACTTGGTTATCTCCTATGTCCTGATTCTCTAATATTTGCAAGATTATTACCTGGTATCATGCAATGGAGGCTCTTGATGTGATCCTGAGTCACTCCACTCTCCGTACAAACCTTGTCAATAAATCGCGTAATGAACCGCACAACAGAGTTGGCAATGTCATTCTCTGAATCTTCAAACCCACTCTCCGTATCATAGCTCTCAGCAACACTTCCTGCAATACTAAGACAAAGAAATCCATGATCAGTACTCAACTGCAACAAATGACAACTCTATCAGAGTGCATTAACACAGCAAATGAAACCTGCTCACAGAGATATGTACTCAAGTTGGAGGCTCACTTAACTCCAGTCCTTCTTTTTTTTATTTTTTAAAGAAACTGGCATATATGTTTGCCTTTACATTTCTGTACTTTATTTTTTCTTTTAAAATTTATTTATTTATTTGTAAGTCAGAGTTACACGGAGAGAAGGAGGGGCAGAGAAAGAGGGAGGGAGAGAGAGGCACCTTCCATCTGCTGGTTCACTTCCCAACAGGCTACAATGGCTGGAACCAGGAGCTTCTTCTGGGTCTCCCACATAGGTCCAGGGGTCCAAGGACTTGGGCCATCTTCTACTGCCTTCTCAGGCCATAGCAGAGAGTTGGATTGGAAGTAGAGCAGCCGGGAGTCGAACCAGCGGCCATATGGGATGCCAGCTGCAGGCAGCAGCTTTACCCGCTATGTCACAGTGCTGACCCTTTCCAGTCTTTTTTTTTTTTTTTTTAAGATTTTATTTATTTATTTGAGAGAGAGAGTTACAGACAGAGGGAGAGACAGAGAGAAAGGTCTTCCATCTACTGGTTCACTCCCCAAAAGGCCACAATGGCTGGAGCTGTGCCGATCTGAAGCCAGGAGCCAGGTGCTTCCTCCCGGTCTCCCATGTGGGTGCAGGGGCCCAAGAACTTGGGTCATCCTCCACTGCTTTCCCAGGCTATAACAGAGAGCTGGATCAGAAGTGGAGCAGCTGGGACTCGAACACCCATATGGGATGCTGACACTGCAGGTGGCGGCTTTACCAGCTACGCCACAGTGTCAGCCCCATACATTTTCTTATAATTAAAAAGACCTCAAGAATTTTTAAGCCAATGGAGAAAAAAGGAGGGAGGCTAGGAGTCATTGCCCTTTCAAATGAAATGAATTATGCAATTACAGATTATACAGAGTTGGGGAATATAGGCAAGTTATCTCAGTTTTCTTGGTCAGTGTCTCTTCCATCATCAGCTATATGGCAAAGCACCTTACAAATCATGTAAGAGAAGGGAACAAATCTAAAATACAGCAGATAGGAAAGCTCAACCTCTGCATTTGTTGTTTCTTCAACCCCATTATTCAGTAAATCAGATAGCCAATCATGGGAAAGACTCCTTTGGTCTAATCTCCTCACTTCTTTTTCCTCCGAAGCCATTCATATTAACCAAATCAGTGCTAAAGATAAACAGAGAATATGACATCCCAAATCATTAAAGAACTCAAGTGTCTTAGCCACTCACTATGCAGACTTTGAGAGAAGATGGTCATCTAAAATGATAATTTTATTTTTAAAAATCATTTATTTATTTAATTTATTTGAAAGGTGGAGAGAGACAGGGGAGAGAGGGAAAAGGACAAAGAACAGAGATCTCCCATTTGCTGGTTCACTCCCTGAATATCCCAGTGGGGCCATGGCCATGTTGAAGCCAGAATTCAATCCAGGTCTCCTACATGGGTGGCAGGAACCCAAGTATTAGAGCCACCACCTGCTGCCTCCCAGGGTGCACAGTAGCGGGAAGGTAGAATTGGGAGTAGAGCTGGAAACCAGGGATACGAAAAGTCTTAAGCAGAGTCTAAACTGCTGTGCCAAATGCCTGCCCTGTGACAACTTTAAAAGAAAATGAAATTATGGTTACTGGTGGTCATAATGGAGATCAACTTAAATGGCAATGCGAAATAAAGTTGGGGGTGACTAAGGAACAACTTAAAAAAATCAAGCTAGTGAGTCCAGAATCAAGCAGAGTCCTCTGGGATTATGAGCAGTAAAGGAATATGTAAGTGTTGTTTCAGGAAGGTTCTTTTGGTAGTAGGGCAGATAATTACAGAAAGAGGAATAAAAAAATGAGACAACTGAAGCAACCAAGAGAGTATTATTGTAATTATGCCTTGAAATGATAAGGGTCTAGGCTATGTTGTTCACATAAAATAAAGGATGAACTAGAAACTACAAAGGAACAAACAAGAAATCTATGCTCTTGAAAATGTTTGTAAAATAACCTGTTAAAGTGAAATGAACACTATGAGAAACGGTGACTTGATCAGCCCTCACCCTGACTATTGATGAACAACTTAATATGTTATCCCTCTTAGTATTTTTTTTTTGCTTGTTCTACTTAATACTTTTGGTTGAATACTATAATCAATACACAATTCTTAAGTGCTGAAACTTAACTGAAAAGTGATCACTGTTAAATATAAGAGTGGGAATAAGAGAGGGAAGAGATGTGCAATTCGGGACATGCTCAAGCTGACTTACCTCAAACGGTAGAGTTAGAAACATACCAGGGAATTCCAATTCAATCCCATCAAGGTGGCATGTGCCAATGCCATCTCACTAGTCCCAGTGATTAATTTCTGTTCACAATTGATCATAATGATAGGACTAAGAACCAAAGGGATCACAGAAACAAGAATAGTGTCTGCAAATACTAGCTGATAGAATAAAAAAGGGAGAGAACGATCCAACATGGGAAGTGAGATACACAGCAGACCCATAAAATGGCAGATGTCCTAAACAGCACTCTGGCCTCAGAATCAGCCCTTAAGGCATGCGGATCCGGCTGAAAAGCCCATGAGAGTATTTCAGGCATGGAAAGCCAAGACACTCTGGGGGGAAAAAAAAACCTAAATGAAAGATCTCCACGAGTGAGATCCCAGTGGAAAGAACGGGTCATCAAAGAAGGAAGTACCTTTCTCTGAAGGGAGGAGAGAACTTCCACTTTGACCATGGCCTTGTCTAAATATGATCAGAGTCGGTGAACTCAGGGGGCTTCCATAGCCTTGGCAGCTCATGACAAGAGCCTAGGGTGATTACTGATGCCATAAACAAGAGTGTCAATTTGTTAAGTCAACAACAGGAGTCACTGTGCACTTACTCCTCATGTAGGATCTTTGTCCTTAGTGTGCTGTACATTGAGATTTAATGCTATAACTAGTACTCAAACAGTATTTTTCACTTTATGTTTCTGTGTGGGAGCAAACTGTTGAAATCTTTACTTAATGTATGCTAAACTGATCTTCTGTATAGAAAGAGAATCGAAAATGAATCTTGATGTGAATGGAAGGGGAGAGGGAGCGGGAAAGGGGAGGGTTGCGGGTGGGAGGGACGTTATGGGGGGGAAGCCATTGTAACCCATAAGCTGTACTTTGGAAATTTATATTCATTAAATAAAAGTTAAAAAAAAAAGTTAATTCCAAGTTGTCTTGGTTTTAAGGCCAGAAACTCTTGAGATGTTCTTGACAAAAATAAAGTTCCTTGGGGATAGGGAGACTGAGAGGTTAGCACTAGGGGTTTAGGCATATGAATGAGTTTTCCAAGAGTATGAAGAGGTTTGGCAGAGAGACTGGGAAAGGGAAGAAAAGGGAAGCTTCCACAGATGCAGCTGTTCAGCTGCCACATCCATTACTGTCTTCTGATATTAGTCATCAGAAAGCTCATCCTAAAAAACAAAGCAACTCAATGCAAAGGAGAACATCCACCATTGCTGATGGATCACTGTACACATTATGTGCAACAAGAACTAGAACTAGAACTACCAGGATGTTGTGGATCATTCATTCATTCATTTAATCATCTGTTCAAGCAAATACTTATCGAGTACTTACTATATGCAAAGAGTTTGAGCATACAGTAATGAACAAAACAAAGGAAACAGACAACAAACAAATACATGACAATAAATCAAGTGTAGGAAATGCTGAGAAAGAAAAATAAAGCAAGGTAGGAGATGGTGATAGGGAAGTCAGGAAGGCCTCCGTGGGTGGGTGACATTTCAATAGAGATCTAAATGAAGTCAGAGTGATTTTTGTGACTATTTTAGTGGGTCTTCTAGATTGAGAGAACAGTAAGTTTGAAGATTAGCAGGAACAGGGAGACCAGTCTGGTTGACACAAGAGTGATAGGAATAGGCTGGTACTGTGGCACAGTGGGTTAAACTGCCACTTGCATCTGGCATCCCATATGGGCACTGATTCACTGGCTGCTCCACTCCCAAACCAGCTACCTGCTCATATGCCTGGGAAAGCAGTGGGATATGGTCCAAGTCCTTGGGCTCTTGCACCCACATGGGAGACCAGGAAGAAGCTCCTGGCTGCTGGCTTCAACCTGGCCCTGCCCTGGTCATTGTAGCGATTTAGGGAGTGAACCAATGGGAAGGAAGATCTTTCTTTCTCCCTCTCTTTCTAACTCTGCCTTTCAAATAAATCTTCAAAAAAATGAGAAAAAAAAAAGAGTAATAGGAAATAAGGTCAGTGCAGTAGCAAGAGGACAGGTCCTGTCAGGCTTTACATACCATGTTAAAAAGACTTTGGGGAGCAAGCGCTGTGGCGTAGTGGGTAAAGCTGCCATCCGCAGTGCCGGCATCCCATATGGGCACCGGTTCAAGTCCCAGCTGCTCCACTTCGGATACAGCTCTCTGCTGTGGCCTGGGAAAGCAGTAGAAGATGGCCCAAGTCCTTGGGCCCCTGCACCCATGTGGAAAACCTGGAGGAAGCTCTAGGCTCCTGGCTTCAAATAGGCCCAGCTCTGGCCTTTGCAACCAACTGGGGAGTGAACCAGCAGATGGAAGACCCCCCCCCCCCTCTGCTTCTCCTTCTCTCTCTGTTTAACTCTGACTTTCCAATAAATAAATAAATGTTTAAAAAAAAAGACTTCGGGTTTTATTTTTAGTGATATGGGAAGTTACTGGAGGGTAGAGGGGAAGGCATAATGAGGACACGATTACAGGCAAATGCCATCAATAAGCTGAGGAAAAGGGGCTGAGACATAATCACTTAAACAAGAAGGAGCTTACTAGTGATTTCTTGGAGCACTTTTTGTAAAGAAATCGATGAGATGGATTCGTAGAAGGTGATAAACATTCTGAAAACTAGGTCATGAAAGGGAAATGTGGAAGGTAGTTGAGACTAGTGGGATAAAAGAAGAAGTCTGAGGATGGGGAAAAATAGTTAATTTTTGAAGTATGTACAGAAATATCTGCCCCAAACGCTTTCTATATTCTCTGCTTAGCCAAGACTGACTCTAAAAAGAACGGGAGGGTCACGTGAGCTCACACTGCAGTACCTATTTGTGACAATGCTGTTGCTTCCGCTCTCCCAGTCGCCTGGCGCAGATGTTCTGAGGAGCTTGTTTTTACTTGTGTCCAGTGGAACCAGCAGATTAACCATGAGGTTTGCAAAGTGGATGGCCTGACTGAAGACAGTGCTTTCCTCATGTTGTACCAGCTCTTGCTGAGTTAATTTGCTCAGAGTAGGCCAAAGACGTAGCTGCTCAGCTGCGAGGTCCATTGCTGTCTTCTCCTGATACTCGTCATCAGGAAGCTTATCCTAAAAAACAAAGCAACTCAGTTCAAAGCAGACCATCCATCATCACTTCATGTGGGCTTCAAAAAACAAGGAATGTGTTTTAATAATTAAACACTTGTATCAGCAAAAATGAAAACATAAACAAAACATAACAACCACAAAACAAAACCTAGTCATTTCCCCCCAGATTCAAAGGCCTTCAGTGGAACCACATGATATACTCAAGGAAGCAGCCGGAAAGCACAGATAGATGGTTATGTGTTTCTCACTGCTAACGTCTTGCTGCACTTATTTTATTTTTTTTGACAGGCAGAGTGGAAAGTGAGAGAGAGACAGAAAGAAAGGTCTTTCTTTGCCGTTGGTTCACCCTCCAATGGCCGCCGCGGCCGGCGCACCGCACTGATCCGATGGCAGCAGCCAGGTACTTATCCTGGTCTCCCATGGGGTGCAGGGCCCAAGTACTTGGGCCATCCTTCACTGCACTTCCCTGGCCACAGCCGAGAGCTGGCCTGGAAGAGGGGCAACTGGGACAGAATCCAGCACCCCGACTGGGACTAGAACCCGGTGTGCCGGTGCCGCAAGGCGGAGGATTAGCCTATTGAGCCACGGCGCCGTCGCTGCACTTATTTTACCTCAATGGCTCCATCTCTTTCAAGCTACTGGTTACGGCAGCATTTGCTAATATTCTGTTTTATTCTTGCTCTTTGAGCAAATGAGATGGAATGACCAAGGTCAGAAAAAATATAGCCAAACTTCCTTATAAATGTGGGAATCAAACATCATCATACACATGAGAATATAAATAACTGGGCTTTTTTTTTTTTTTTTTTTGACAGGCAGAGTGGACAGTGAGAGAGAGAGAGAGAGAGAGAGAGAAAGGTCTTCCTTTACCATTGGTTCACCCTCCAATGGCCACTGCAGCTGGCGCACTGATCTGAAGCCAGGAGCCAGGTATTTCCGCTGGTCTCCCATGCAGGTGCAGGGCCCAAGCACTTGGGCCATCCTCCACTGCACTCCCTGGCCACAGCAGAGAGCTGGCCTGGAAGAGGGGCAACCGGGACAGAATCCAGTGCCCTGACTGGGGACTAGAACCCGGGGTGCCGGCGCCGCAGGTGGAGGATTAGCCTATTGAGCCGCGGCGCCGGCCTGGGCTTTTTTTAAAAAAACTTTTATTATTTATTTTGAAAGTCAGAGTTACAGAGACAGAGAGAGATCTTTCATCTGCTGGTTCACTCCCCAGATGACCACAATGGCCAGGGCTGGGTCATCTTCTGTTGCTTTTCCCAGGCCATTGGTAGCGAGTTGAAGTGGACCTGGAGCAGGCAGGACACAAACTGGTACCCATATGAGATTCTGGCATTGCAGGCGGTGGCTTTACCCACCGTGCTGCAGTGCTGGCCCCTGGGCTTTTTAATAGGAGTTAAATAATAATAGTAACCCACATCTTGCACAGCACTTCAGATCTTGGAGGAGCAGGCATTAGTATTTAACCTAGAGCTCAGAGATGGACTTCTTTAGAAGGGAGGATACATAAATATTGACAGGTGCACACTCTGAGTGCTTGAGATATATAAATGTTAGCATTACAGCCACTTAGAAAATACCAAAAGCACCCCAACAACCCAATTATTTCTGTAGCATGATCACAATCTAACAATCTTTACATCTGCTACAAGTTACCCCTTAATTAAAAACATTTGGTGTTCTGAAAAAAATGTGAATTTCAAATTTAATTAAGCAAATAAGCCACATTTATTTGTATAACTGGATTATCACATTGGTGTCAGAGTAATTTGTTATTAAAGTTTCTGTTCCTATAATATTCAAAATAGACAAATAGAATGTCTTAAATCACATGAGGCAAAAACATCTTTGAATACTATTGGGTAGTTTCTGTTGGACTCTTAGGTTCATTTATTTTCTGAGGCCAGTTTAAAAGGGAGTATGTCAGAAAGGATCAGCAGCGATGTACTTGCCTAGCATGCAGAATTAAAAATGACCCTGAAGTGCATCAATACTGACATCTAATTCATGAGTATGGTAACTTCCAACACTTATTCAATGTGCCAGGAATCTTCAATGTGTTTTATGTGTATTAGCTGATAAAACCTTTAATTTTTGCCTCTACAAATAACAAAAGTTTCATTAAATCATATCTACATCGGTGAATTCTTTCTGGAGGAGTTGAACATGTACATACAATATGCCTTCATTTCTATAGTGCCCTCAAATGAGCACCATACCCCTTTACCTCTTCTCACAGGTCCTCAGGCTGATGTATGTTTATACTCGAGCCTTCTCTTTGAACTTCCTCTGGTTTGGAGGTTCGATTATTTCTTGTTTCCTGTTGTTTGCAACTTTTGGTTTCTCCCTATTCATTGGTTTCTTTGTTTTAGTTTGCAAATGCAGTCAAGTGCAAAAAACCCAAAACATTTTCCTTGACCTTTTCAAAAACGGCTTTATACTTTTTTTATGCTGCTTTCTTGTCATCTCTTTTTACCCTTCAGTTTCTGACAATCTTGGTCCATAATTCTCTTTCTTACACCTACTTACTCCCAAGACCTGTGAAATGTCATCTCCACCTCTGCACAGCACACTCTTGGAAACCAGTTTTCTTCAACGTCACCAATGGCCTTCCCTCAGACCCCATCCTCCTGACATCTCTCAAGACTTCCCAATTAGCTGGCCCTCTTTCCCTTCCAAAACTTCCACTTGTTCTCCTTTCTTGTTCACCTCCCACCCACTCCTATATACAGGTTTACCTTACTTTTAAGGTTCTGCACCCAGATCTTTTCTTTCTACTGTCTCCCACTGGCCATCCTGCTCCCTCTGGTGGCTTTGATTATACCAGAGACAGATAACTTCCTAATAGTAAACTCTCAGACATTAAAATTTTTAAGTATTCCTGGCTATTCACGTAGAGGTAACTTGCTTTGCCCAAGATCAGATAGCTAGTAAATAACATTTTACAATTTCAGAATATTTGAAAGTACTCTTTCAAATTAAAAAGCTTTCTTGATTTTAACGATTTGAATTTTCTTAAGATTTTATGTTGACAAAATATAGAGCAACACTCAGAATATTCCTAAAAGATGACCTGGATTTATTGCTGGAATTTTTTTTTCAACAGAACTACTGAATTTTGCATTTATTTTAGAGTCAATTAACTTTAATTTGACTTTTCTTAGAGGAAGTCATTTGCCTGAATCTCTTACTTAAATATTTTAGGTTTGTTCTTTCCAACCTGGGCCAATTCATCCCTCCTTAGGCAACCTGGTGGTCCTCCGCTCCTGGGAGGTCACCATATTGATGCCAAACTTAGTGTGGACACCTGATCGGCATAGCGCACGACAGCCCAGAACTCCTGGACTCAAGCGATCTCCAGCCTCAGCCTCCCAAGTAGCTGGACTACAGGCACGCACCACAGTACCTGGCTAGGTTTGTTCTTTCTTTAAATGCCTTCAACAGCTGGAGCTGGGGCTGGGAACTCAATCCAGGTCTCCTTCATGGATGTCAGGAACCCAATCATTTGAACCATTACCACTTTCTCACAGGGTCTGCATTAGCAGGAAGTTGGAATCAGGAGCCAGAGCCAGGTTAAACCCAGGAGCTCCAATATGGAATGTGGGAGTTTTAACCAGCATCTTAACTAACACCTGTCTCAGTTTACTCTATGTTCTCAACTTTCTACAACTGTTTCCAGGGAATTCTTATTTACTGAAATATAATAATTCTAGAGGTCAAGAATTGCATTAGGAAGTTATTGTGGAAAAGTGCAATGTCAGAAATCAACAGAATAAAGATGTTTGGCACAGGGCTCCCTAAAGTAAACCCTAAGTATATGGAAGTAGCTAGATTTCCATTTGCCTTGGGAATATCTACATAAGCTAAGCATTCCTTGAAGCCAGAATCCAATCCTCAACTCACGTCAGTATCCTCCTTCCTTTCTCTTACCTTTTGCTTCAGATGTGGAGCATGATTGTCTTCCTTGGCTGAGAGATACAGGGAGCGAACTTGTTCTTGTACTGCACTGTAAAAAGTTGTCTCCCAAAACTGCTGATTTGTCCAAATGGGGTGGTCCTGTACGCAAGTGTAAGCAAACTGGCTGACTCCAGGAGCAAGTTTCTGTGAGAACATATAACATTCATTATCACAGGGCGGGCAGAATGAAGCAGTCCAGAAGGTCACAGGGGCCACAGTTAACCACAGATGTGATCAAAGGATTTCTCTAGAGAGTATCTTACAGTAGCATAGGCTTAGCAATCAGCAACTTACTCATTTTTAACTGGCGACCCTGGGTTTGCTATAAAACCCTTTAGGGACTTGCTAATCCTTTAGGTTCTCACAAATCCTTTAGGATCACTTTATCAATATGGGCATTTTAGCAACAGCTAAAACTCAAAGTTATATAATATGGCTTAGAAAATACATGAAAACTACCTAGAATTGTACTGTGTGTTAGTAGGCAGTACAGAGTTGGGAGACAATATTGAAACTAGAACATACAAAAAAATCCATCACAACCTAAACATAAAACTCCATTTTTAACATGTCTTCTAATAATTTAACATGTTTTTTACTTGGTTTTAAGGTTTTTGTTTTTTAATTTTTTAAAGTAACTAACTGAAATGTTGAGTAATCTATGAAGGCATATTATGAATTAAGGATTCAGGAAGAATTTCTCATTACTGTTCACTCTAGCCCTTTACTTCCCTACAATAGCTGCTGCCTGGCTTACATATTCCCTAGAAGACCATCCTGGGCTTCATGGCCATTTTCTGGTAACCAAATGTGGGCATGAGAAAGTAACCACAAACCAAAACTTCCTTTCCAGTACTTCTTGCTGGGATTTGGAGTAAGAACAAACTTCAGGGATGATTAACAGAAGGAATGAAAACTAATTGTGGGCACTTCATATACATTTATATATCTAAGTTCATAAAAATCTTGAGGGATACACATTTTCTCTAGTTTAAGGAAGCAAAAACCGAATTTCAGGAATATTTATGTGACTGTACAAGGCCATACAATGATATTTCAAAACGTTTGTGGAAATATGGAATTAAAAGATAAATTTATTTTGGTGTAAAAATGTGAAATCCATGCATCATGTTTTGTAACACATACCATCATGTTTTGTAACACACATTTTCCACTGAAGTTTTGGAAGACACTTTTTATAATTAATTACATATGTGGTGGAACTGAATTTCAAGCCCAAAGCCCCTGTTCTTTTCATTATACTAAATGGTTTTCTAAAAGTAACTGAAAGCAAATCATAAAACATATTAAAGGCTAATTAGTGCTGCTGTCTTCCTTCACCCAACTATCCCACTTTACGATTATGTTTCTCAAAGTAATATTCTACTTTAAAACCTCAGACAAAACTTTACATAGCATTATATTTTCTCATTTTACAGATACTTGCACACTGTCAAATGCCAATTAATGATCTGAGCCATCTTTCCACAGCTGCTGCTTTCACCTCTAAAGGTTAAGGATGCTTAAAAAAATTTGTACTCTATTATTTCTTAGCAGGTAATATTTTCAATAGACAGACAACTGTTTGGGGTCAATCTTATTCTTTGGAATTGATTTAATCTGTTTTCTGTGAGTAGAACTGAATTTCTGATAAGATTTATTTTGAAGCAATAAGCTGAATTCTTTTCTGAAATGCTGGATTCTGAAGATTGCTATCAGGGCTACATATATAACAATATGCATTTATACAGCAAAAGTTAGTTCATTTTTTAGAGACATAGAACAGAAACATAATGTAAATCACATTATAAACACAAAACAGGTAAAAGACACTGCAGATGTGTAAGATAAACATAACAGATGCATAAAGCAAAGATTATATGTTCAATACATGCTGATTTACTTTGTAGTCTAGAACATTCTTTTTTTAAAGATTAATTATTTATTTGACAGAGTTACAGGACGAGAAGGAGAAACAGAGACAGACAGAGAGCCTCCATCTGCCAGCTCACTACCCAGATAGCCACAACAGCCATAGTTGGGCCAAGCCAAAGCCAGGAGCCAGGAGCTTCCTCCAGGTCTCCAACGTGGGTGCAGGGGCCCAAACACTTGGGTCATCCTCTGCTGCCTTTCCCAGGCTATTAGCAGAGAGCTGGATCGGAAGTGGAACAGCCATGATCCAAACCAGTGCCCATATGGGATGCCAGCATTGTAGGCAGCAGCTTTACCTGCTATGTTAACAATGCTGGCCCAAATCCAGAACATTCTAAACCTAAAGCTGGAATAGGCACCATGCATACTGTGAAATGTGGAGCTGTGTAGTGAGAAGCAGGGTAGCTGTGATTTTGCCTTAAGAGTCTCTGTGTACTGCACTCCATGCGTCAGTCCCTTTTATGATGGGATTGTGTACTGATGCTGAGGTGACTGGTTCTATCAGGTCTTCATGCTGCTTGTCTGCTTAAGATGCAGACACTACCTAGCTACAGAAAATCACAGGCAAAATGTGTGATTCTGCGGGTGTGTAAGCAGAAGCCACACACACTGTGAACCACATGATTCTTTTCACATTCTACATGAAGATATTTAGGAAGTAGATCACACATTTTCATCCCCTTCACATTTTAGTCCTTCACTCTAAGGTCGAACAATTATTTCAGTTATCAGCTTACAGACCTGTTTGCAAAGAGAATTCTCAACTGCCATTCCCATTACTATAGTCAGAGGTAGTACCACTTCTTACAAACTAGCACAATGGAATGAACAGCAGCTCTAAAACTTGGTGATTATATTAATACAGAGAAACTGGGAACAAATTCCTATCAATTTTTAAGTACTTTTAAGATAATCAATGCACCAAAAAATCTATTAGTTACAAATCTCTTATTAAAACTTGACAGAATGTGAGGGTGTGACGAAGTCTGGTCTTTCTGCTTCAGCACTGTCCTCGCTGATGATGCATGTTCACTTTCTGTGGCACACATCAGTTGAGATTATCTTCCTGCTGATTCACAAACTAAAATGAACGTGCAAAAACATTTCAAACTTTTCAACAAAATAGGGAGTTTATGTCTTTCTTCAAAACATAAAAATGGGGAAGACAGAATGACAATGGCCCAAATGGTCAAAATCCACAGCTTGTTTACTTGGGGAGATTTACAGCAGCGTGCAAGGACTATCAGATAAACACTTCTGGTGGCAAGGCAGTCACATATAGTCATGGCTATCTGATAAATAAAATAAACATCATTAATTTAGAAATATTTAAAATATCCTGTTTCCAAATACGAAATGTGCTGTTCTTTGTGGTTTCATGCCATGTCTGCTCACCTGCAAGGAAGGGACACTCTACCTGTCATGAATAGGATGGGGAGGGCCACTGCATTATGGGCAGGTGAGTTCTCAAGACCAGCAGAGGGCAGTAGCACCTTATTCTGCTGGACTCCACCATTGCAAAAATGGAGTTGTGCAGTCTAGTTGAACTGGAGAGTGGGTGCTAAGGTGAATACTGTTTGTTTTCACTGCACATTTGAGAGATTCTATAAAAATAGATTTGCTCCAGGTAATCTAACAAGATGGGGAAAATTAAGTTTTCCACTATATATTATTTTTGTAAGATATAAAAAGTTAAGAAACTGCAAGACGGTAATACAATTATGTAGAGGAAGACATATTGAGACTTTTTAGGACTTCAGGTTCTGTATAACCTGTGACAGGGGCAGTAGTTTTTGTAAAAAGAAAAGAAACACCTGTGATTAAAAGCTATCTCCTGATTCTTATCACTTGTTTGGTTTAAACAGAAAACATTTTTCCAGGTGGTTTCTCAAAACAGGTTTGTATGCCAGCTTCATGGCTTTTATTTTGAAACAAGATGAGATCCAGTTTGCACTGAGGGTGTGAGGAAAGTGGTGGCAGAAATGCTGCTGTCAAATGACATCTCTCTTTCTTTCCCTTCACTTCTGGCAACAACATTTATATTTCATAATAACTCATGATTCTGTCCTAAAGAAATAAATATTTTGCCTGAAATTTTATGAGATGTTTAAGAATGTGTTGACTTCCTTCCTTATCTAGAAAAAATAGTCCTGAAGGTACTAGATTAAGCAATGCCATTCATTTTGACAAAGCTTTCAAAGGAAACCCAGCATGGGACAGGATATGGAGAACAAACTCATGGGGCACACCAACCGCAGGGCAGATTCAAATCTAAATAAATAAACACAAATCATCTCAGAAATGAGATTGTCAAGGCAAAAATTAAGATATCAGTATTAAGGGCCTGACTTGGGCCTGTCTGGCTAGACAGATTTACTGACCAGGCCTGAGGCTCCAATCAAGAAGCTCAGAGGCAAACCAGGTTTCAAGAAAGCTAGCTGGCAGAACACATCCCATAAACATGTATGATCTTAAAGAATAATAGAGGATGTAGAGATTCACTGTCTCAACTGCTGGGGACTTCCTATCCAGTTCCTGTCTGTGGAATACAAGTGATCCTGACTGCACTATTCAGGGATGGTGTTAGCAAGTGCTTTTATGATTCTACTCTGGCCTGACCAAGTCCAGATGTTAACTCACTTTAAGAATTAATTTTTGAGTATTTTTTGGGAATTTTGGAAAGACTCAGTTTTGAGATACAAAAGGAAGATAAGCCATAGAAAAATGTATCTTCAAAACCTGGCTTTATCAAATCATAAGCATATTTACTTTTTGCCTTTTTTAAAAAGCAACGGAATATAACATCACACTTAGCTGAAGGCTACTATGTATAGCTCCTGATCCCATTTCTCTCCAATCCTAGAGGTGACAATTATCCTGAACTAGGTATTTATCATTCCCACTTATGTTTTTCTGTGTGTGTGTGTGTGTGTGTGTGTGTATATATATATGTGCTTACATAAAGAATATATAAAATTATATTGGTTTTATTTTATCCCTTATTGATATCTTTCATGTATATGACTCAAATTTCATCTATTTATGTAATATCTAAGTAAACTATGTAATTAATTGGGACAAAACACAACTGGCCTTTGTAAACTTAGTAGGGTCAAAAGAGAGTGAAGTATAAACAATGAATATTTAGGATACTATATTCATTAGTCACTAGATTGGTGAGTAACCCACTTAATTAAAACAGAGATGACTATGAACATCTACTACAGTTTTTTTCCCTCCATTTTACTTATGTGATACTCAGACACTGAACAGTGAAAATATCCTCAGATTCAGAATGGTCTAAATCTCTACTGGGTTGCCCAAAAGGTCTAGGCATGTAAGTTCTGCATGAGAGGTTAATTCAGTCATTAGCACTGCCCAATATTCACCTGATGTGCCAGGTTCTGTAAACGTCAGTAGCCAGAATGACAGGACTAAATTTCATTTTTACATCACTTATCCTTCAAATTATTCTGTCTGAGGTTGCTTAAGGATGAGTCAATTTCTTTCTTTGTAAAAAGAAACCAGTAAAAATCAAATACAACTTTGTTGTCAAGTCCTTTGCTTGTGTTTGGCATTCTTAAAAATCTAAGAAATGATCCAAATGCTCGTTAACCTCTGTGACACAATATTTGTATCATTCATTGTATCATATTTTATTATCAAACTTGGTTTTTCAAACATTATGTGGATACATTTATTAGGTAGTAATAATTATAACCAACTTGTACTAAGTCCCCACTATGAATACCTAACAACTGACTGAATCCTCGCAAGCAATCTTACGAGGTAAGTACTAGTATTTACCCATGTTTTAGGGTAAGGAAACAGGAACAAAGAGGTACTTTGAAGTGACTGCCCAAGGAAACATGGTTAGGAAAAAAAATGACCTAGATGAAAGATCTCTGTGAGTGAGATCCCGGGTGAAAGAAGGGGCCATCAAAGAAGGAGGTACCTTTCTCTGAAGGGAGGACAGAATTTCCACTTTGATTATGGCCCTGTCCAAATAAGGTTGGAGTTTTATAAACAATGACTTGTTTTTGTTTCTCTAGCATTCACATTGGGTTACTAAATTTTTTATTACAATATGTCTATGAATTTTTAAACATATTTAAATTATTCTTAAGCCTAAGTTAAGAAACAAGCCAGAAAAACCTATCCTTAACTATTTACTGGAAATTTGTGTTTTTCATTAACTCATTGCCACATACCAAGGGGTCCTTGTCTACAAAGTGGCTATAATCTACATGGGGAGATAAGAACTCCATATGTGATGACCGTGATAAATCCATTGATTGTAACAGTACTATCAACTAGAAGGGTAAACATCCTGATTTGGAGAATGGAATCAACAAAAAGGCTTGTAGATACGTAACAAGGTATTCTCTCTGAAGTGTAAGTGTAAAATGAACAGTGGAAGAAAGGCACTGTTATAATCTGGTGCAGGAAATGAAAGAATTTGGTGAGTCACAGCTCTCACTTTATGTACTTGAAAATAGACATGAAACTTAATAAAAATGTTTATTATATCATTATCTTTAATAGCTAGCCCTCACCAGTCAGAGACTGGGAAAAACTATTTGCAAATCATTTATCTGTTACACTACCTATATCCAGAACATGTAAAGAACTCTCAAAACTTAACAATAAAATAGCCCAGTATAAAAAGATGGGGAAAATATCTGAATAGGCACTTCACCAGAGATAATATATGGGTAAGAAACAAGCACATGCAAATATACTGAATATTATTAGTCATTAGAGAAATTCAGTGAAAATCACAAAAACATACTACTTGGTATCTATTAGAATAGTTAAAATTAAAAACACTGACATGGGATGTGGAAGAACTCTAATAGACACACTAGTGAAAGGAATATAAAATAGTAGCACTTAAGAAAGCCTGGCCATTTCTTAAAGGTACATGTTTATCTGCCATATAATGTAGTCATTTTATCTCTAGGATTTACCCAAGAAAAACATGAAATATAAAGCCATTCATAGCTTGTACATAACTGTTCATAGTAGCTTTATTTGTAATAGTCAAAATCTGGAAACAAGCAATTTCCACCAACAGGTTAATGAGTAGTTGGAAGAACTGTGATATATAATGCAATACTACTGAGCAGTAAAAAGGGATGAACTATTGATACATGCAACAGCTTGGATCAATTTAAAAATCATGCTGAGTGAAGTCTGAAAAAGAAGACTATGATACTGTATAGTTATTTATATAAAACTACAGAAAATGCAAAGTACTTTACAGGGATAGAAAGCAGATCAGTGGTTTCCTGAAGGTTGGGTGTAGAAGTGAAGGCTGGAGACAGGTGAGTTGGAGAACATACAATGAGGTATGGGTGAACCTTTGGGGACGATGAATAGGTTTACTGTATTGATTGTGGTGATGTTTCCATGGCCATATGCCTAACTCACACTATTTTACAGTGTATGGTATGGCAACTGTAGCTTAATATGGCTACTAAAAAAACCCAGCAAATGCAATACAGGTTTTACTTTTTAAGATTTATTTATTTGAAAGGCAGACTGCACAGAGAGGGAAAGAGGTGAGGAGGAGGGGAAAGGGAGAGGGAGAGGGAGGGAGGCAGGTGGGGAGAGAGCAAGAAAGCTAAATCTTCTGTCCACTGGTGCACTTCCCAGATGGCTGCAACAGCTAGGCTGGACCAGGTTGAATTCAGGAATTCCATCCTGGTCTCTCTCAGGGGTGGCAGGTGCCCAAGCACTTCTGCTGCCTTCCCAGATACTTTATCAGGAACTTGGATCAGAAGTGGAAGAGCTGGACTCAAACCAGCACTCTGATACTGATATGGGATGCTAGTCTCACAAGTGGTACCTTTTTTAAAAAAAAAAACAACTTTTATTTAATAAATATAAATTTCCAAAGTACAGCTTTTGGATTACAGTGGCTTTTTCCCCCCATAACCTCCCTCCCACTCCCTCTCCCATCCCACAAATGGTACCTTAATCCACTATGTCACAATGCTGATGCCCACCACATATAGGTTTTAAACATTTCATTATATACAAATTTTACTTCAGGAAAAGAAAATGTAAACTCCAACAATTCTATTTATGAACTCTAGTAAATGACATGCCAAAGTACTGGAATTATATGGTGACTACAATTTATTTTTTAAAAAAGATGTATTTTTATTTGAAAGTCAGAGAGGCAGAGGCAGAGAGAGAAAGAGAAGTCTTCCCTCAGTTGGTCACTCCCAAAATGGTCACACAGCCAGGGCTGGGTTAGGCTGAAGCTAGGAGCCAGGAGCCTCATCCCAATCTCCTATGTGGGTACAGGGGATCAAGGACTTCCGCCATCCTCTGCTGCTTTCCCAGGTGCATTAGAGGGAGGTGGTTTGGAAGTGGAGCAGCGGGACTCCAACCGGCATTTATATGGGATGCTAGTGCTGCCCGCGATGGCTTAACCTACTGTACCACAGTGCTGGCCCTTACAAGTTACTTCTAAATATATCAAAATAAAATGCATTTATGGATGGATATATGTTCATGTATATGTGAAAAAGAATACACAAATATGAAAAATACATTAAAAAGAAAAAAATGTTAATTCTAGGTGATAGGTTTATGAATGTCCACTCCAAAAAATCTTTTCAATATTCCTCTACATTTGAAAATTTTCATAACAAAATATTGAGGAAAAATTAGAATATTAGTACTATTAGCATCCAACTGGTTGGAGTTCTAGAAAAAGAACTGGAAAATTCAAAGGAGAAAATAATCTAATAAATGAGAATATTTTGATATTTTCCAGAACCAAAGAGCATGGATTTTTAGAATGAAGGAGTCACTTAAAGCCTAGCACGATGAACAGAAGGCAGCACAAGGGATTTGAGAGCAGAATGGCACCAGTAGGGTAAGAAAGTGTGTGGAAGGATGAAATAAGCAGTTTCTAAGAGGGCAGGTAGTAGTGTTATGGTGGCAGTATGTAAGATACCTAAATCTTCATATTCCAAGTCAATTTATAATGTCTAACACAGGAAATAAGAAAAAGAAGTAAAAGCATATTAATTCAAAATGCTAAACCAAAATAAAAAAAATCTGAAGAGATCAAATTAGTTGTTTCTGGAAAACAGACCTTAGAAGTATTGGGCAGGACTATGGAAGTCAGTCTGGAGATTCCTCAGAAACCTGAAGATAACCCTACCGTTCGACCCAGCCATCCCACTCCTTGGGATTTACCCAAAGGAATTTAAATTGGCAAACAAAAAAGCGGTCTGCAGCCTAATGTTTATTGCAGCTCAATTCACAATAGCTAAGACCTGGAACCAACCTAAATGCCCATCAACAGTAGACTGGATAAAGAAATTATGGGACATGTACTCTTTAGAATACTATACCGCAGTAAGAAACAACGAAATCCAGTCATTTGCAACAAAATGGAGGAATCTGGAACACATCATGCTGAGTGAAATAAGCCAATCCCAAAGGGACAATTACCATATGTTCTCCCTGATCGGTGACAACTGACTGAACACCAAAAAGGAAACCTCCTGAAGTGAAATGGACATTATGGGAAACGGTGACTTGATCAGCATAGCCCTGACTGTTAATGGACAACTTAATACATTATCCCTCTTAGTAGTTTTTTTGTCTGTTCTACGTAATATGACTGGTTTAATTCTGTAATTAATACACAGTTATTCTTAAGTGTTAAAAATTAACTGAAATGGGATCCCTGTTAAACATAAGAGTGGGAATAAGAGAGGGAAGAGATGTATAATTTGGGACATGCTCAAGCTGACTTGCCCCAAATGGTAGAGTTAAAAACATACCAGGGGATTCCAATTCAATCCCATCAAGGTGGCATGTGCCAATGCCATCTCACTATTCCAAGTGATCAATTTCAGTTCACAATTGATCATAATGAAAGGACTAAGAGTCAAAGGGAGCACATAAACAAGTCTAGTACCTGCTAACACTAACCGATGGAATAAATAAAGGGGAGAGTGATCCAACATGGGAAGTGAGATACTCAGCAGACTCATAGAATGACAGATGTCCTAAATAGCACTCTGGCCTCAGAATCAGCCCTAAAGGCATTCGGATCTGGCTGAAAAGCCCATGAGAGTATTTCAGGCATGGAAAGCCAAGACACTCTGGCAAAAGATCTCTGTGAGTGAGATCTCAGTGGAAAGAACAGGTCTTCAAAGAAGGAGGTACCTTTCTCTGAAGGGAGGAGAGAACCTCCACTTTGACTATGATCTTGTCTAAACAAGATAAGAATCGGAGAACTCAGAGGGCTTCCATAGCCTTGGAAACTCATGACTGGAGCATAGGGAGATTACTGATGCCATAGACAGGAGTGTCAATTGGCAAAGTCAACAACAGGAGTCACTGTGCACTTACTCCTCATGTAGGATCTCTGTCCTTAATGTGCTGTGCATTGAGATTTCATGCTATAACGAGTACTCAAACAATATATTTCACTTTGTGTTTCTATGGGGGTGCAAACGATTGAAATCTTTACTTAATGCATACTAAACTGATCCTCTGTATAAAAAAAAAAAAAAAAAAAAAAAAAGAAACTATCAACTCCCATGGTGACTCTCACTGGGATTAAACATGACAATAGGTCTGATCTGATTTCATCATCATTTAAAAAAAATCATTTATTATTTTTCACTTTATGTTTCTGTGTGGGAGCAAACTGTTGAAATCCTTACTTAATGTATACTAAGCTGATCTTCTGTATAATAAGATAATTTCAAATGAAAAAAAAAAAGAAGTATTGGGCAGGAATGTGTTTTTTGTTATAATCTTTGTATGTCTGAAATGTAAATATGTATCACTCTGAAGAGCCTCAAATTAGAGAACATTTTAAAATATAGTAATTATACATGGAATAAAAATACAAATAAAATAATCTTCACTATTTACCTTTCTTAGGAATATATTCTTATAAAATCTGCTTTAAAAATGAATTGAGATAAGAAAAAGTTCAAGTTAAGGAATAGGTCAACTCCTATTACAATGATCTTGAAGTAGATGTTAAAATTCTCTTACAAAATAATTGGGCCCATGAGTGCCTCGGAACTCTGGCACATCATGCAGAGGTCTTCACTGCCTAGAAGCCCCAGGTAGACTGTTCACTCCCAGTACCTCAGACTGTAGAAAAACAACAAACCTCCAAATTTGCCAGGATAAGTGGTCTCAGCTAAGGTTCAGTATGGTCTGTTGAACTTTCACTTCCTGAATCTTTATTCTTAAGTGAGAACTTATAAACTCAATACTCCTATAAAACCTTCAAATAAAGAAGGCTGATTGTGCTTATTTTTAATATATTTATCAAGGTAGGAGAGTGGCCCAAAATAATATATCCAATTTCACAGTCTGAAGTGAAATGTTTAAGTTTTTAACCATAGGTTAATTAGAAAATAAATCAACCAGAAATATTGTAATGGCTGACACTGAAATTCCTTGATTTGGCTTCAATCCCTACAAAGATACCAATCAAATGAAATGTGATTTAGAAGGGCTGTTCCTTAGGCATTTACTTCTCATAGTAAATTAACTATGCTGTCTGTCTCCTTGTTCATTTGCATGTGTACACTTCCTTTTGGACCAAAGGAATATTCGAAGCAAATTGCCTTAAAAAACCATATTGAGGGGCTGGCGCTATGGCACAGCTAGTTAACGCCCTGGCCTGAAGTGCTGGCATCCCACATGGGTGCTGGTTCAAGACCCGGCTGCTCCGCTTCCGATCTAGCTCCTTGCTGTGGCCTGGGAGAACAGTGGAAGATGGCCCAAGTCCTTGGGCTCCTGCACCCATGTGGGATACCCGGAGGAGGCTCCTGGCTCCTGGCTTCAGACTGGCGCAGCTCCAGCCATTGCGGCCAACTGGGGAGTGAACCAGCGGATGGAAGACCTCTCTCTCTCTCTCTCTGCCTCTCCTCTCTCTGTGTAACTCTTTCAAATAAATAAATAAATCTTAAAAAAAAAAAATATTGAGGGTCCGGCACTGTGACACAGCATGTTAAAGCCCTGGCCTGCGGTGCCAGCAACCCATATGAGCGCCAATTTGAGTCCTGGCTGCTACTTCCTATCCATTTCCTTGATAATACGCCAGGGAAAGCAGTGGAGACGGCCCAAGTGCTTGGTCCCCTGCACCCATGTGGGAGACCTGGAAGAAGCTCCTGGTTCCTGGCTTTGGATTGGTTCATTTCTGGCCATTGTGGCCATTTGGGGAGTGAACCAGCGGATGGAAGACCTCTCTCTCTTTCTGTTTATACCTCTCTAACTCTTTCAAAGAAGTAAATAAATCTTAAAAAAAAAAACCATATTGAGGGAGCTGTAAATTCATAACAAGGCAGTGGTATAACAAGTGAGGTTAGAAGAGGAGTTGATAGCTACTGGTTCCAATGCCCAAGTTCCAATGTCTTGGCAGATTGCTAAGATAGAATAATAAACACTAAGATGCAATATGTTTACTCAAAGCAGCATATGTTCTAAAGTATCTGTTATTTCCTCTGTTGATATAACTGAATACTGTCCCTAGATAAAAAAATAATAATTAGGTGGTAAAAGGGATTTTGGGGATGTTAAAGATTGTTGGATTCTAGTTTGTCAGAGATGAAGGGGAAACTGCTTTTGTACTGGGGAGTCTTTTCAGTTAATTGAAGCAGTCACTAACAGGTGATTTATGTAGTTTGTCATAAAGGTCTAAAGGTAAATGGATTAGTACAGTATAAAAATATTAGCTCACAATCACAAGTGGTAATTGTAGTCATTCATCACAGTCTGACAATTTTGAAGGCAGATGATGGAAACAAAGCTAAGAAGATTATGTTGTACTGTGCTAACTTCATTTCAGAGGTGGGAAGATACAATGTGTAAAGGGCTTGGCACAGTACATGGCACTTAATATGTATTTAGTAAAGACCAGCAGCAGCCAGAGGCTTTAAGGAGATAGTGGAGGCAGTGGTACTAGTGCACAAGGTACTACTGTACCCAACAGCAGAAAGCCCATGTGGGAAGTCACAGACATCTCTGGATGTCTGGCTGGGTAGAGAAACTAGTTTTAGGGATTAGTACAGGCAGTGAGGCAGGCAGTCCAGAAAGCTGGCAATAATCATCTAATGCCTGCCTTTCATATGTCACTACTTTCTTAGGATAAAAAAGAAGACAAAAGTAAATCTTCCAGAAGAACACATATCTTCCCTTATGTAATTAAACTTCAGAGTTTAAATCCTCTGATTAAATTTGGTTATTGTTACTATCTTAGAGGTTATTCCAATGAGAAGGCAAATTGAGGGGAAAAATGATTAGTAAACTCTGATTTAAGTTCTTTAAAAAGATTATGGCCGGCGCCGCGGCTCACTAGGCTAATCCTCCGCCTAGCGGTGCCGGCACACCGGGTTCTAGTCCCGGTCGGGGCGCCGGATTCTGTCCCGGTTGCCCCTCTTCCAGGCCAGCTCTCTGCTGTGGCCAGGGAGTGCAGCGGAGGATGGCCCAGGTGCTTGGGCCCTGCACCCCATGGGAGACCAGGAAAAGCACCTGGCTCCTGGCTCCTGCCATCGGATCAGCGCGGTGCGCGGTCGCAGCGCGCCGGCCGTGGCGGCCATTGGAGGGTGAACCAATGGCAAAGGAAGACCTTTCTCTCTGTCTCTCTCTCTCACTGTCCACTCTGCCTGTCAAAAAAAAAATAAAAAAAAAGATTATTTATTAGATGAAAGGCAGAAAAACACAGAGAGAGAGAGGGAGGGAGGGAGAAGGGGGGGAGAGAGGGAGGGAGGGAGAAAGGGGGGGAGAGAGAGAGAGAGAAGGGGGGAGAGAGAGGGAGAGAGGGAGAGAGAGAGGGACAGAGAGAGAGAGAGAAAGATTTTCCATTTGCCCTTTACTCCCTGAATGGTTGCAACAGCCAGGCTGGGCCAGGTGGAAGCCAGAAGCCAGGAGCCAGGAGCTTCTTCTGGGTCTCCCACATGGGTGCAGGGTCCCAAGGACTTGGGCCATCTTCTACTGCTTTCCCCAGGTGCATTACCAGGAAGCTGGATCAGAAGTGAAGCATCTGGGACTCAAACTAGCGCCTCTACACGGGATGCTGGCACTGAAGGTGGAGGCTTAACCTTCTACACTACAAAGCTGGTCCCTGATTTTAAGTTTTTTAATTTGAATTTATTAACAAATAAATAATAGTGAATTTAAGAAAAGTTTATTATTATTCCTCATACTATTTCCTACTTCTTAATAGATAAAAGTAGAAACCACAATACCACCGAAGCAATTTAAGGTCTTGTCAAGGACCAAATAAAGACTCAGAAATGCAGGTTAGCATCCAAGGTAAAGTCAACTCTGGGTGCATTTAAATCACAGCTGTTACTTCAGCTGCCTATAACTCCTAGAGCTTTTATTGTGAAGCTGTGGTGACGGACATTCAGTATGATTCACTGAGGAAGTATCTATGTAAAGTAGAGGCCACAGGAAAGCAAATGCGGGGTGGGGGGGCTAAGGACTTGAAAAGTTTCTGAGTTACAGAGTATTTTCAGATGAGTCATCTAAGCTCCTAGTTTAAGTTAATTATGAAGACAACACTTTCTTAACTTGTATACGCACCTAATAGGTCAATTTATTCTTGAGAAGAAAAACAGTATTGTAAGCTGACTATACATAGTATGGGAAGAAAATTTATTTCTTGAGAAACGTGTTCCTGTTTTTAAAGAAAACATCTCATTGCCAATTTTTAACTGTTTATTTAATTTTATTTATTTGAAAGGCAGAGGGGAGTGACAGAGAGAGAGAGAGAGAGAGAGAAATATCTTCTATCTGCTGATTCACTCCTCAAATATGCACATCAGGGCTGGGCCAGGCCAAAGCTAGGAGCCTAGAACTTCATCTGGGTCTCCCACTTGCGTCGCAGGGACTTAAGTCCTTAAGCTGTCATCTGCTGCCTCCCAGGATACATCAGCAGGAAGCTGGATCACAAGTAGAGCTGAAACTTGAACCAGCACTCCAATATGGGATGTAGGTATTCCAAGTGGCAGCTTAACCAAATATGTAATGCCCATCCCTCTTCTCCAACTTTAATTCTACAGATTCTTATTTATTTTGGAAAGACTCATTAAAACTGAACCTCTAGAAGAACAAGCTGTTTACCTAAGTAGCCATTTTCCAGGAGAAAGAAATATCCACTGAATTATAGAGCAGGTCAAAGTTCTCGAGT